ACTCATAATGATATGACAGTGTTATTAGTACACCAGCATATCATTACGGTAGAACATGATGAAGGTGGACTCGTGATAAGAACAGAGTGAATAACACACTATTTATCTTCACTGCTTCAGTTGATTGAATGTCTGATGATGAATAATACACACATACACACTGATCCGCCCATACACAGATTCACACACACATTCAGACTGCTAGTTCTATATGGTAATCTACACATACATGTATATAGCACATGATACATGAGGGCATACAGTACATATATCCTCATATTAATGAATACCAGTTAGATACTCTTTGGGCTTGTTTTTATCTTATTCTGAAAGAGTTGAGATCATTATTGTCGCTATAGATCTCATTGGATGATGCATTCATTAAGCCTACTGCCAGCAGCTCATTTAAAGACATATCATCTGATTGATTGGGGTGATGAGGCATTAAAATGAGCCGATACATTTTCCAACACTTACGCATTTAACTTGTCTGTGATATTTTGCGTGCTTCTTGTCTAGCCCTCGCAGCGGTGGAGGTGTTATATTTTGCCGTGATTATGGTCTTGAATTCCTCATATGCGTTCATGATCATCTCCTGCTCGTCAGCGGAGTAAAAAGATGCTCTTTCTTTGACTTTATTTGACATTGTACTGTTAGAAAATCATGGTTTCGGTGATCGACGCTTCCCCCTTTTGAAGTAGGACGGGCACGCGCAATTATCGTGATTACTGAAGTCTGGTTCGAATTAACGAAATTGTTTGAGAGGATCAGCCTTGGAGAAACCGAGATAGCCTGACTTCAATCATCGGGTTAATTTAGGCTGCTAATAGGACATTTGATCGACTTAGTTGAACCACGTACGAGGAACGGGGCCCTGGATATTCACACCTGGACATGACAATATATACACCTGGACACTGATATTCACAAGTTAACTTTCACAGGTGAGACACCTTGAGATTAACCTGTTGAGACTCACCTGTCCTGTCAGCAGTCTGGCCAATAGAGTCGACTTTCCTGCCGAGTCCAAACCCATCAGGACCACCTGGACACACAAACAGATATTTAAAGTTCTGGTTCACATCCCTGATCAGAGACAGGTGTCAGGTGGGTCAGGTAAGTTTAAAGTTCAGGTAATCTAAAATGTGACTTACCTGAGGAGAGGTGGGGCTGTGAGTCTGACCCATCGCTCTTCTGTCTTCTTCTTCTGGTGGAATAAAATCAGAGTAACGTCGACCTTCTGACTGACTGCTCTGAGTCTGACTAAACTCACCTGTCTAACATCTTTCAGATGTGTTCAGGTTCAGTGAAGCTGTCGGCCCATAGGAGGGCCGCGTCCAATGAGAGCAGGTCATGTGACAGAGTGACAGGTCGGACTACATTTTTGTATCAGAGGCAGGTTGAGTCACATCTAAACACATGAAGAAGAAGAACCTACAGGTTAATTTCTTTGAGTTAAACAAAATGATGTTTGATGAATAGATACTTTAAATAATGATGTTTGAGTTGTGAGATGATTTACGTCTCATTTACATTTACAGTGAAACAGAAACGGAGAAGAAGAACTAAAACAGGTTCATCGAGTACAATCTCACTATATATATATATATATATATTAAGCCTTGTGGTCACTGTTTACATATTGTAAAATAAAGAAATAACAATAATATTAATAATACATATAAATATAATGATACATATAATAATAATAATAATAATAATAACAACAATAGTAATAACCCATCTTCTTACCCCCCCCCCCTTTCTTCCTACTCCTCCTCCAGACTCAGCGGTGAGGAGGAGGAGCTGTGTCCGGTGAGGAGGAGTCTATCTCCGGGTATAAAGTCGGCTCCTTCCCGTCTCCTCCCTCCTTCTCTTGCTCCTCCGACGGCTCCTTCCTCCCTCCTCATCATCGTCATCATGGGCTTCGGTGACTTGAAATCTGCGTCTGGACTCAAAGTTCTGAACGGGTTCTTATCGGACCGGAGCTACATCGAGGGGTCAGTAGAGACCAGTAGAGACCATTACAGACCGGTAGGAACCAGTAGAAACTAAGAGGGATCTAGTTCTGCAGAGAGACGCTGGCAGCTGCTGGTCGGCCGCCATCTTGGCTCAACTGCTAACAGTTGGCATCATTAGCTGACGGTCCGTTAGCGGCCTTTAAATCACTGAAATGTGTTAAATTAAACCGACATTACGCATTTAAAGTCGCGGGTCGTCTGTATGAGAGTTAACTGTTAAGAGTTAAAGATCCGTTTTAGTTTATTGTCATTATGTGTTTGCTGCTTTGTTAGCATTGAGCCACATGGTGCTAACTAGCTCACTAATGCTACGTGTCACATGAAGTTTAATAAGTTAAAGCAATGAAAAGACTCTTAATGTCTCACTGATCCATATTTCCATGTATTCATGATTATCAGGCTAAACACGTGCTAACAGGAAGTGATTTTGGGCTAAAACGTGAATTGGAAAAGAAACTTGACATGCTTCCTGTTGACGTCCATCTTTCTTAAAGGGGCAGTGTCGTCTAACGTCTCTTTACAACACCCGTCTCTCTCTAACCCTACCGGTGTCTCTCTCTCTAACCTACCTGTCTCCCTGTCCTCAGGTATGTCCCCTCTCAAGCCGACGTGGCCGTCTTCGAGGCGATCCCGGCTCCGCCCACCACTGACCTAAGCCACGCCCTCCGCTGGTTCAACCACATCAAGTCGTACCAGAGCCAGAAGAGCAGGTGAGGGTGGCGACGTCATCGACAGGTGTGTACACACAGGTGTGTGACATCATCAGTGACTCCGCCTCCTCCTCCTCCTCCTGTCAGTCTCCCAGGTGTGAAGAAGCCTCTGGGTCAGTACGGCCCCCCAGGTGTTGCCGACACCACCTCTGGCTCCGCCCCCGCAGCCAAGGACGACGACGACGATGATGACATCGACCTGTTCGGCTCCGACGAAGAGGTGACCTCACCGTGATATCATCGATGACCTCGTTCAGTTGATCTAAAATATATGATATCTCCTGGGTTTAACGTTCCCTGTGTTTGGTCCTGCAGGAGGACGCGGACGCAGCCCGGCTGAAGGAGGAACGTCTGGCTCAATACGCTGCTAAGAAGTCAAAGAGTGAGTGACAGCCAGTCTCAACCAATCACAGTATTGATCCCACGACTCTTCATGATGATCACAATCACCATCTTTCGGCTGACTACCTGATGGACACCTTTTTGTTTACCTGAGAGTCTCCTGACTTCTGTGATCACATGTTCAGACTGGTTTCCATGGTAACTGACCTCTTCCTCTTTAGAGCCCACCCTCATCGCCAAGTCTTCGATCCTATTGGACGTGAAGCCGTGGGACGATGAGACGGACATGTCGAAGCTGGAGGAATGTGTTCGTAGTATTCAGATGGACGGGCTGATCTGGGGACAGTGTAAGAATACTACACACAGTACTACATTAATACTACACACAGTACTACATGTAGAGCTAGTCTTAAGTTTCTTAAATCTTCTAGTGGATCAGTTACTGATCATAAACTGAGTCTCTGCAGACTTGATGATGATCAAACTCACCATCTTTCAACTGAACGTGTGATGTCACAACATGATCTGAAACCTCTGCAGAGAAACAAACACTGATACATAATCTATATATTTAATTGATTACAGCCCCACTGATGCATAATAATCAATATAAATATTTGTTGTCCTTTAGCCAAACTGGTCCCAGTGGGTTACGGCATCAAGAAGCTGCAGATCGGATGTGTGGTGGAAGACGACAAGGTGAGACGGGTTCACCTGCACATCCGGTTGTCTCCCAGTTATTACCTGTATGCAGGTGTTTACATGTGTGTATGTTTACCTGTGTCTCAGGTGGGCACAGACATTCTGGAGGAACACATCTCGGCCTTTGAGGACTTCGTTCAGTCGATGGACGTCGCTGCTTTCAACAAGATCTGAAAACAAAACGTTAATAATAAAAAGCACTTCGACACAAAACTGACTTGTGTGTTTTTATTAAGTGGGAGGAGCTACAGCAGCTGATATTTGTGATGTCAAATTAAAGAAAATACCTGACTGAGTTGTTTTCAGCTGTACAAAGATTTGCATTATTTTATAAAAGTACTGAGGCAATGAAATAAATGACAGAATAAGGGTATAAATACACTATGACAGTATTAAGTGTACAGAACACTGTATTGGTTGTATTTTTAAGAATCTCATTGAAGTATAAAACATTACTTTAGTTTATAATGTTCTAAGCTTCAGTCAATGACGTGTAATTCTCCCTCTGGCCTGTCGGCAGCACCGTCCAGATTCTGCCTGCAATGTAGCAGCAGAAGAAGAGCCAGACCAGAAACTAAACAGCGCGGAAGAGCAGCGCGTGACGGAATAATACTTCAATCTCTGCGAAAGTAAACAAACGGCTTCAGGTAGACCAGCTGATCGACTAACTATATCTGCGTCATTGACTCCAACTGACCAATGAGCTTTAGTGTAACACAGCTAACCGCTAACGTTGTTAGCCCTGCAGCTAGCTAGCTCCACGCGGTCAGCCAATCAGAGCGGAGCTACAGCTGCGCTCTGATTCTAACATTAATATAAGTCATAGTTGATTTTATATACATTTATAATAAATAGACGTCACTCAGCTGAAATATTTTATATTTTTGACTGATAAGTTTAATAATTAAAGACTTTCTATAATCAATATATCGATTATATTTAATATATAGTCACAGCCTTTATACTAAATCTTATTAAATGCATACAGACAATCACTGTATAATAATTTACGTCCGTCCTAAAATTAATGTTTGGTGCTTTCTAATAGTTTCACTCATGAATTTAGTTGAAGCTGAGTTGGTAATATTATATTTTCAAGCTCATGGACTCTCCACCTGAAACTCTCACCTGGTTACCGTTGGTTACAGCATGGAGCGCTCTGATTGGATGGACGACTCACTGACTGCACTGCCTCCAGGTGCGACCTCAGTAACAATTAATGCAGCTAAAACGAATTATTCTAGTAACTTATAATTAATATAAATATATAATACATGTTTCAGATTTCCAATCAACAGGATGTCAGACTGTGATGAAGGTAAACAAATCAAACACACCCTTATATTTTGTTTTATATTTCATTCACGACACTATACTGTGTGCGTGTGTGTGTGTGTGTGTGTGTGTCAGGTGACCAGAGGAAGGTGGAGTCCACCAGCAGGTGAGTCTACCTATTTTACAAAAATCACAACATTTGACGCTTTATTTGCTCATTAAACTCCTCAGTTTTGTCTCTGCATTATATTGTAACACCAACCTGAGACAGGTGCTCTCTGTAGACGGGTGAGGTTGATGCTGTTTCTCCTCCATCGTCCAAACACACACCTGAGTTCACAGGTTTTTTTTATCCCATAAAGACCTCTAACACACCTGTGTTACTGCCCCCTGCTGGTCTGGAGGGAAAAGGTCAAAAACATCCTGACTTAATTTAAAGAATAAACTTCACACATTAAGCTGGCGTTTGAATTTAAGTTGTAGTATATAAAGTAGTACTTCAAATACTGAATGCTTGAGGTTTTTCCCCCCCTCTCTCTGTCTGACAGGATGTGGGCGGAGTCTCAGCCGGGTCCGTCCAGGTGTCAGCCCAGCAGACAGGGTTACTGTGGGTACTGCAGAGTCCTCTACAGCAACCTGGACCAGGTGCACCTCACACAGTCTTCATGTGTACACCTGAATCTGAGTTGCAGTCATGTGACCTGAGCAGGTAAATCAGATTTAATGACATCATACCGTCTTCTCTCAGCACCTGTCCAGTCTCAGACACATGGATTCTGTCCGGGCGTCCTCCCGAGGATCCAGCACTGTCTCCTCCTCCTCCAGCAGCAGAACCAAACTAACTCTGCTGGAGCGCTTCCTGCAGGATGTCCTGCAGCACCACCCGCACCGCTACAACGACTCCAGGTAACTAAAACAAACACACCCACACATCTACAACGACTCCAGGTAACTAAAACAAACACACCCGCACATCTACAACGACCCCAGGTAACTAAAACAAACACAGCCGCACCGCTACAACAACCCCAGGTAACTAAAACAAACACCTGTGTGTTACCTGTCTACAGGTGTGATTTTGTCTTATCTTCAGAGTTTGTTTATTTGTTTGTTTCAGGCCATCTCACGCTGACCTCCCATCAGTCTCCACCCCTCTGTTGCCGAGGGCGGAGCTTGACAAACTCTGTTTGCCTGACGACGACGACAGGCGGTCGCTGGGCACTCGTGAGCACCTGTCCAGCTCTGACCACGCCTCCTGCCAGCCGGCCAATCAGAAGGAAGACGACTGCACACACAGCCAATCAGGAGAGGGATTCACAGTGTTTGGGAGTCAGGAGAGGCTGTCTGAGCCAATCAGAGAGCAGGAAGACGGAGAGATCATCACCACAGGGAACACACTGTTGTCACAGGTTCAGGCCCCGCCCCCACACCGTCAGGCCCCGCCCTCAGTCCACAGGAAGGCCCACAGGAAGACCAACAGGAGGAAAACCAGCACCTCCTCGACCTCATCACCGCCCCACCGGAGTCCAGACCCTGGTCCCCGTCCAGACTCTGGTCCCAGTCCAGACCCTGGTCCCAGTCCAGACCCTGATCCCGGTCCAGACCCTGGTCCCCGGCCCCCCACAGAGTCCATGCCCTGGTGGAGCTGGCAGAAGGAGAGGAGGGAGGCCCACAAAGAGGAGGCGTTCTCCTCGGACCACAGCGACTCTCTGGACCGGACCATCGAGGAGGTTCGTCTGTTTCTATCGGATCTTCATCGTCAGCTGATCCTCAAAGTTAATCACATGTTTCTGTTCTCAGGTGATCCAGGTGTGTTGTCATGGTGTCAGTTCCGCTCCCTTCCAGCAGGAGGAGACGGAGAGCTTCCACTTCAGCCTCCCCGTCTCCATCGAAACACAGAGTGACGACTGGGACTCACCTGTACAGGTAACCGTCGTCCTGCTGGAGGAGGTTGGAGGAGGTGAGGCTGTGATGGATTACATTGTTTTCTGTTGGTTCTGGTTTCACAGAGACGACAAACACTCGGGGACACACCTGTCCAGGTGACCCAGGTGGGGGGGCAGGACCTGAGCGGTCTGATGGACGTTCAGGTGGACCTGGAGGACCAGGTGTACTCCTACCAGCTAGACTCCGCCCTCCACAGTGAGGCCAGGCAGGACCAGGGCTTCTGGAGTCTGCCGATAGAGGAGGTCTTACCTGCTCCAGAACATATACCAGAATCCTTCAGGGGGAAGACCTGGACCCAGATTGAGCAGGACGACGAGGGGAAGGTGGAGAAACTGGTCCGACAGTTCAGACGGGGGAGATTCATCTGCTACTTCGACACCGAGTCTCTGGCCAGGTATTTTATTGACTCACCTGTACTGATGTATTATATAGACTCACCTGTACTGATGTACCTTTTTGTAACATACCTAACTTGTCAGGTACGGTAGGAGGAGCCAAAACAAAGGAGGTGGTGAGAACAAGGAGGCGGAGCCAGCCATTGGTGTCCTGCCATTATTGGACGGTGATGACAATGACTCAATGTACGTTAGGAGCAGGAGGAGAAAGAGGCGGGCCTTCAGAGTGGCGTCCAGGTGTCAGGTGAGAACGTTTTCTGTCAGTGTTTGTTGTAAGTTAACGTCTTCATCACCTGTGTTTGTTCCTTCAGGTTGTTAAAGTCAGTCACAGCACTCAGACGATCCGATTGGTCGTCCCAGCTGTCTGTGAACCATCTTCGGAGGCCCCGCCCACTAGCGTCTCTCCAGCCAATCAGGACGCAGCAGAGAGGACTCCTGAGACGTGGAGCTGCCTCCCTCCGTCGTACTCAAACATCATCACACCTGTGCAGCCTCGCACCTCTCTGGTCTACCTGCTCTGCTCCCCCTCAGGCCCCGCCCCCTCCTACACACCTGCACCAGGCTCCGCCCTCAAGCGCTGCAGGAAGAAGAGGCGTCCGTTGGATGTGCAGGGGTTAAAGGTGAAATACAAACAGCTTCCTGTCAGGTTCTACGAGCCGAGCAGCAACCGCATCCTGAAGAACCCCCCGAGAGGCTCCGCCCCCTCCAGCCCGCCCCCCCCCATGTGTCCGTCAGCTGTTCAGAAGTCTCAGTCTGGACCTGAACGCTGACAGGGACTCAGCACAAGACACAGTCAGGAGGCGGAGCAGGACCTCTCAAGCCCTGCCCCCAGTGCGGGGGCGGAGGGGGAGGAGGGACAGGACACACCCCCCACCCTCCAAGACAAGAACCAGGGCTAAAACCATCCCTCCCCAGCCCAGGAGAGAAGGCCTACGTTCTACGGGCCGGGGTAGGAGCCGCAGGGGGCAGGGCTACGAGAGGGGACGGAGGTAGCAGGACACCTGTTCAGGTAGCAGGACACCTGTTCAGGTACCAGCCTCATTCATAAACTGCTGGAGTTTATTGAAGTCAATATTAGAATGAAATCATCTGATCAATATGAAAATGTTATTTTACATTTGTGTGCAGAAAGTTAATTATGATTTATATTTTTTTATTTCATAAATTCATAAAAATAAAAAAGCATATATTTGGAATTTAAATTGTAATAAATCATGATAATTTAAATATGCACACAAATAGAAAATGAAACTGTAATTTGATGAAATTATTTTATTATGATGTTGGCAGCTGTTTGTTTCTGTGACACTAAACAAACCTGGTCAGGTGACACCTGCCTTTTCTTCAGGTACTGTGGTTTGATTCTTTTTATACCTTTACACTCTGTTTATTTAATTATCAATACGTTAATGTTTAATAAACAACTTTTATAACCTGAATACGAGTCGTCAGTGTGTGTCAGTTCTCACAGCGTCCACCAGGTGGTGTATCGAGTTGCCCACCTGGTCTGCAGCCTGCAGAAGCTCCGCCCTCTTCCTCTCACCTGGAGACAGGAAATTAAAAACATCATTACTAAAGATTTAAATGATTTATAAGAGCCTCTTTCATTCATATTAACTATATAATTATCACTGTAAACCATCATTTATAAATGTAACATTTCGTTAAAATGTATCATTTTAACGTCACAGACCTGTCTGTCTCTCTCTCCACCTGTCTGTCTCCATCACAGTCTTCAGTCTCTCTACAGTCTCCCGCAGCAGCTCCTCTGGACTACACATCCCACAATCCTCTTCTTCAGACAGACAGGTTTCCTCTTCCTGTGATCCATCCTGTTGTCCTATTGGACAACAGACCAGCCAGTCACCTGCAGTGTCTTCTTCATAGTAGATGTCATGTGACAGAGGTGTATCCTGGTGCATTGTGGGAGATAGAGTTTGTAGTTCTACCTCGCTCCACTCGTCTTCTGTCTTCAGCAACACTTCCTCCTTGTCTTCCTCGTCTTCTGTGTTTCTTTGCTTGTCAGATGTTGGTGGAAAGTTTTCTATGTCCTCTGTATCCTCTGTGTCCTCCGTGTCCTCCCTGTCCTCTATATCCTCCCTGTCCTCTGTGTCCTCCCGGTCATCTGTGTCCTCTATATCCTCCCTGTCCTCTATATCCTCCCGGTCCTCTATATCCTCCCTGTCCTCTGTGTCAACTATCTCCTCTATGTCCTCTATGTCCTCTGTCTCTACGTTTTGTAGCATGTTGTTAGCTTGTTGTTGAACCTCCATCTTGTTCAGAGCCGAAAGAAAGAAAGAGGAACATCTGTTAGAAATACTTATTTTGTTTCTGTGTGTGTATCTACCTGTGTGTTGTTACCTGTGTTTTGTTACCTGTGTGTATCTGCCTGTGTGTATCTACCTGTGTGTTGTT